CTGGAGAGATGGCTCAGCAGTTAAGAGCACTGACTGTTCTTGCAGAAGACAAGGGTTTGATTCCCAGTACCCACATGGCAGCTACAAACCCTCAACCCTAGTTCCAGGGGAATCCGAAGCCCTCTTCAGATCTCTGCAGCATTGCACGACAGGGGTGCACTTACATACATCCAGCACCCACATGGTGGCTAACAACTATCCATAACTCCAGTTCCAGGGGATCCAGTGCCCTCTTCTGACCTCCTCAGGTATTGCATGACATGGATGCACTCACATACATGCAGGCAATACACTCATACACATAAAATAAAAATAATAAATAAAATTTAAAATTTTTAAAAAAAATGTCCCTCAATGTTTTATCTTTTCATTACTATTTCAAGCACCTTTCCCCTCCAATTTTATCTAACTAGCTACTGGACTGATTTGAAGATCTTAACTACGTGCCTAATTATTTAACTTTTATTATTTAAACCTAGTGAAAAGCAACTGGTGATGATATCGTCAATAACCAGTTCAGCTGACATAAGTAGTTTTCTCCGTATCTCACAGAAGTCACACAGCTGAACTTGGGGTTAAGGACATCTACGATCTAGTCTGGTCCCGTGGTTGAACACTACAAGTTTTCTTCAAATAGTAATAATAAGGAAAGTGGGCCGTCGATACGACTCACAGGCACAGGCGCTTGCTGCCAAGCCTGACAACCTGATTTCGATCCCCACAACCTTCGTGGAAGAGACCCATCCATCTCCAGAAAGTTGTCCTATCTCCACACACGCGGTAGCATGCCTGCCACGCACACACACAAGTAAATGTCAAAAAAAATTTTTTTTAAATGAGGAACTGTGCCTAACCTTGACTCTAATCTTGGGATTTCAGAGTAATGACGCTCTTCAAAATGAAACGCGAATTTGCTTGGCAGCTCTATTAAAGTACCTCAAAGACCGGGCACCCCCGTAACAAAAAATTCCTTTAGAATTTTTATAATGAAGGAAATCAGGATAATTTGTATTTTATACCCATCAAAGCTCGAGTTATACAGTTTTTACAGCTAAACAGCCTTATTAAGGTTTACTTCACACATCACACAATTCACCTGCCTCACGTATAAAACTATTAATAAAAACTGTTTTAAAATGATTCAGTACTTATCATCTCCCCCCACCCCCACCCCCGGTCTGTCTTCAAATAAAACGGATGCTCTTCGGGAAGATGGCCCCGTTATAATTATCGGCACTTTCGACACGGCGCAGATGTGCTACTTCCAGCGGGTCTCCCCATCCCGTGACGCGCAAGCACGCATAATCCGACACCAAGTTCCACATTCACTCCACCTTTCCAAACACCCGGTCCAACTTCGGGGTCAAACTCGGTTACAGACGCCCAATCGGCCCTCCGAGGCCCCTCCGCCCCTCAACGAAGGCCCGACGCTCTTAAACCCAGTACCTTAACCCCGTGCCGCGGCCCCAGAGATCCAGAACCTTCCCCATCAAACTCCCGGCCCGACCGACCCAGACATCCAGATCCCACCGCCTACTTCGGCGCCACGTGGACCCCGAGGCCGCGCTGACCCGCGGACAAAGACCAAAATGTCCACTCGCTGTGCTGCGGCTGCGCACTCTGAAGGTGTGTGAGCACTCCCAGAAGTCTCCGCGGTGCAGCTAGACTTGTTAAGCCCTGGGGATCCGCTGTCTTCTAGCGCCAGCACCGCCGCTTTTCCAGCGTAGACTACACTTCCCATAATGCATTCGGGACCTTCTCTGGGTCCCTCAAGCAAACTTAGCCGCCTCTTATAAATTTGGGATTCTTTGGGTAGATGGTCGTTCCCTAGGCACAAATTGAGCTCGCAACTGGTGGGATGTTTAGAGTGGTGACCTTACAGGCGACTGTCTCAAAATGGACCAAACCCAGACTCAAAGGTAAGACGCCATCTTGCCCCCTGGCTGCTGTGGGCTGGACTACGTTTCCCAGAGTCCATGGCGACGATACGTCTCAACGGCTTGGTGAGATCCTAAGCTCGGCTAGGACCCTGGAGGCGGTCAGTCGAGGCAGAAGGTGAGGGGTTTGGGAGTCCTGGGCGGACCCTGCGTGTCCCGAGCCTTGAGGCTGTGTGTGCGGGACTCCCGGGGTACAGGATTCTGAACCTGGTTTTGCTTGTGGCAGTGTGACAGCTTGTGCGTGCCTGTTGAGTGTGCAGTTGTCATCCATCCCCAAGGTGTTTATCTGGGTGCCTGTACAAACGTGTGATGCTGTGCGTTGTTTTTGTGCAATCGTGTGATGCTAGAATCTTGTGACTGGGAGAGATAACTGCGTGTTTCTGCTGTGTACTGTGTGCTGATAGCTTTGTTCCTGGAACTGTCAATATAGTTGTGACTCTGACCGGTGCTGGTATCTCTGGGTTAATGCTCTGTGCCCCTACCTCTGCAGTGACACTGCATGTTGAGGAAAAGGGAGAAGGAGGGGGGAAAATTTTGTGAATTTTGTAACACTGTGTTGCTGTGTATGCAGGTGTGGACTCTGCTAAATGTGTGACAATGTCTGCAGAGTCAATGTTCAGTTATGACCGGGTGATGTAGACTACATGTGATTTTTGTGTGCTGCTATGTGTGGTTGTGAGTGTATGGATCATTTGGGGCCGTTAGTGTGGACAAAGGAAATAACTATCATAGTACTGAGCAAACTGTGACTATCAAGTGTGTGAAGGCATTTGGGACTGTGGCTGTATCCCTGTGTCTCTAGAGTGGACGAGTGAAGCTATACACAGTAGTATACACCTGTAATCCCAGCGTTCCAGAGGCTGAAGCAAGAGGAGTCCAAGTTCCAGACCAGCCTTGGGGGGTGGGGGGAGATACACTGCAAGACCCTGGCTCAGAAAGAAAGGGGATGGTGGGGAGGGGAGCTGGAGAGATGGCTGAGTAGGTAAAGCTATTGTGGCACAAGCATGAAGGGTTCGAATCCCCAGAATCCGTGTAAATCCCATTGAGGTACTGTCTCTCTATAACCCCAGCTCCTACAGGAGGCAGAGACAGGAGTATCTCTGGACGCTCTCTGGTCAGCTAGTCTGGAGTATGCAGTGATGATGAGACAGGCAGGAGGCAGAGGCAGGTGGATCTCCATGAGGCCAATCTGGTCTACATAGCCAGTTCCAGGCCAGCTATGGCTACAGGGAGACCCTGTCTCCAAAAAATAAAAAAATGGGTAAATAAAATAAAACAACCAAAAAACAAAAACAAACCCAAAAGTGATGTGCCAAACTAGTTAAGAGCGCATGCTGCATATGGCTTTTCCAGAAGACCTGACTTCAGTTCCCAGAACCCACATCAGGTTACTCATAACCACCTCTAAGTCCATCTCCAGGGAAGCTTCTGGCCTCCTTGGACACTATGCTCAACTGCCCAGTACCCATACACACATACACATAGTTAAAAATAAATCTTTTGGGGCTAGAGCGATGGCTCAGTGGTTAAGAGTACTGACTGCTCTTGCAGAGGACCCGGGTTCGATTCCCAGCACCCACATTGTGGCTACGAGCCATCTTTAACTCCAGATCCAGGGGAATCTGAAGCCCTCTTCTGACCTCCATGGCAATGCATGATAGGGGTGCACTCACATACATGCAGGCAATACACTCATACACATAAAAATAATAAATATTTTTTAAAAAATAAATAAATCTCACTTGGGAGTCAGAGGCAGGTGGATCTTTGTGAGTTCGAGGCCAGCCTGATCTACCTAGTGAGTTCCAGGACAGCTGGGGCTACAAGGAGACCCTGTCTCAAAAAGACCAAAAAAAATTTTTAATCTTTTTTTTTTAATGTGATGTGCCTTCTCAGTATATCATATCAGAACCATTGTGACTGGTGTTCATCACTGAACTTCAATCATGTGGCTAAGGTAGTGTCTGACAGGTTTCTCTGCAGCAGAGTTACTACTTTTCCCTTAAATATCAAGTTATTGTAGAGGTGTACTTATATAAACTGTTTAAACACCCTGTATTTCACCCCACTTTAACCTACTAATCTTAATTTACATTGATAATGCTTGCCTGAAAAAGTTATTACTAGCTGTTTGCCAAACAGCGATGGGAGGGGTGTTGTTACCCTCATTTCTTGTACTTCTTGGGGGGTGGGAATCGAACTTAGAACCTCTCACATATTGAAGCTTAGGCTCTGCTACTGAGCTCCACATAATCTCACCCTCTGCCTTTACTGAGGATCTTACTGGTTTGTTTTTGTTTAGTTTTTTACATTTATGTGTGTGTGTGAAAGTGTATGTATTTAGCCAGGCATGGTAGCACACACCTTTAGTCCCAAAACTTGGGAGGCAGAGCAAGCAGATCTCTGTGAGTTCCAGGTCAGCTGGGGCTACAGGGAGACCCAGCCTCAAAAAGACCAAAAACAAACAAACAAACAAAAAGCCAGGTGTGGTGGCGCACACCTTTAATCCCAGCACTCAGGAGGCAGAGGCAGGCAGATCTCTGTGAGTTCAAGGCCAGCCTGGTCTACATAGTGAGTTCCAGGCCAGATGGGGCTACAGGGAGACCGTGTCTCAAAAAGACAAAAACAAAAAACAAAAACACACACCAAAAAAAATGAGGCTCTAAATGTTTATAATAGATTTCAAAACTCACTGTAGTCACCAAGTAGGGTCTGATAAAGTATGGAAATTTCTATACTTTTCTTTTCTAGTCTTTTTGTTTCTACAGCTAAGATAGAGCCTCCTGTACCCTGTCCAGCTCCTATGAGTTGGACTCTTCTCCCAGCCCCCAGTCCATAGTCTCAGACAGGGAAAATTTAAGGAAGTAGCTTCAAGTTTTACTAGGTGGTATGTAGATAGTTAAGCCTTGCTCTCAAGGATTTGCGTATGCTTTTCATGTTGGACATCTAAAGACACCTGGCTCCTTGTATCAACATGAGCTTGCCTTATAGCTCCAAATTTACTTTTTTTTTTTTCATTGTGGGATTACAAAAAAAAAATCCCCTTTTCAACAGACTTAGAAATGGATTTCTCTAGTTAGTTTTGTTCCCTGATGCTGTGATAAGTACCCTGACAAAGCAACCTAAGGGAGAAATGGGGCTCACAAGTCCAGGTTCAGGAACTTCAAGTAACTGGTCACCTTTCATCCACAGTCCAGAGTGGAGAGCAGTGAATTCATGTGTGTGGACTGGTCAGCTCCTCCATCCCTCCCTTTCACTCAGTCCAGGGCCCAGCCCAGGAAATGGTACCTCCCACATTCAATTAACCTTAAGAAAATCCCTCATAGGCCTGCCCACAGGCCAACCTAGGCTAGATGGTTCCCCACTGTGACTTCCTTCCTAGGGGATTCTACGTTTTGTCAAGTCGACAATCGAAACTCAAAACTCACCCAATGCTACTGTTATTATTTCTGGTTTCCTTGGACTTTTTTGTTTTGACCAAATTCTGAGTCTGAGTGAACTAGTTAATTTCTTGTTTAATAGTTCTTTTTTATTTTTGTGCATGTATCTGTGTCCCCTTGGAACTGGACCTACAGATGGTTGTGAGCCACCCAGTGTGAGTGCCACAAACCGAACTCTGGTCCTCTGAAAGAGCAGTGAGCACTGTTAACCCCTGAACTGTCTCTCTCTCTAGCCCCTGACTTTTTTTTTTTTCTGCTCAGGCAACATGTCTGGTGTGGTCAGTATAGGTAATTTCCCAGAGCTATGCCATCAGATGGCTGTACCATCTGAAATTACCCCACAACTCATTGGTCACTACATCAGGAATATAAAGATTAGAGAATTGCGCAGTCTCTCTAGTGTCTCACACTGAGTTGATACATACCACTTTTACTTGTATTTCACCCTCCAGAACGAGTTCATGGCCCTGCCTAACTATAAGGACCTAAAAAAAAATGACACCTTCTTTAATTAATCAAAAAAATTATTATTTATTTTTATTTATGTGTATGAATGTTTTGTCTGCATGTATGTAGATGCATCACATGCATGCAATGCCCATGGAGCCAAAAAAGAGTGTCAGATTCCCTGGAACTGGAATTTCAGGCAGTGATTAGCTGCCTTGTGGGTGCTGGAAACCAAACTCAAGATTCTTTGCAGGAGCAATCTGTGCTCGTAACCACTGAACTATCTCTCCAGCCCTAAGTGCCATCTTCTGTGGGCCCAAGAAAAGCGGAAAATGGATGGAGATGAAGCAGTAATGTCAGCACACTGGCTGTGACCTTTCTTCTTTTCCTTTTTTTGCATGTGTAGACGTCGCTGGTGTAGATCAGGTGTGATTTACTTTTGGAATAAGGAGGAAATTCCCTGCACTGTGGAGGAGCCTTAAGAGGCCTCTGCAAGGTGAGTGAGGCCACTGGGAAAGCAGAAGCCTTTTGTAGGAAGACTCACCTCCTCTGTGAGCAGGCAAGGCACCCTTCAAAGATTTCTGGGGGTCAGAGAGACGGTTCAGCAGCTAAGAACACTTGCTGTTCTTCCAGAGGACCTGGGTGTCGTCCCCAGCAGCAACATGGCAGCTAACAATTGTCCATAACTCCAGTTCTAGGGGATTTGATACTTTTTTCTGGCCTTTGCAGGCATTCTGTGCATGTGGTACACTTACATACATGCAGGCAAAACACTCATACACATAAAATAAAAATAACAAATAAAATACATATTTTTTTAATTTTAAAGACTTCAGAACCACGAAGTCAAATGCCTTCAGCATATATGTTCCCAAAGACACCTGTCAGTCATTCAAGAATCCCTCCACATCTTTCTCCTCTTTTTTTGGTGGGGGGGATGGTCTTTTGGTGACAGGGTCTCCCATAGCCCTAGCTGGCCTGGAACTCACAGAGATCCGCCTGCCTCTGCCTTCCTTCTGAGTACTGGGATTAAAGCCGGCCCACATCTTTCTCCTTTTATACTTCTTTCCCCATTGATAAGAAATGAATTAGCTGTATGATTTCTCATTGTAAAATAGATGCTTGCTGACTGGGTGTAGTGGTATGATGTAATGATGCATTCCTCTAATCCCTGTACTCAGGAGGTGATCCCCTGGAACTAGACTAGATGGCTGTTAGCTGCCACATGGGTGCTGAGAACTGAACCTGGCTCCTCTGCAAGAGCACCAGTGCTCTTAACTACTGAACCATCTCTCCAGTCCCCCACTAGTGACGTTTTAAAGCTTTGGGTAGAGTATGTCCTGGAGCTGGTGGGCTGAAACTCTGGTACTCTCAGCCACCAGTACAGCCTCCAGCCATCCCAACAAGTTCTCACCATGTAAAAAGCACTAAAAGCATTTGGAGAAAAAAAAGAAAAAGTAACTTCAGATGCCACTGCCAGCACCAGGCGTGACGCACCCCTACGAGCTGAGAGCTTAAAGATGAAGGCAGAGCATCAGGAGTTTCAAGGCCAGCCTCAACTGCATAGTGAATTTGAGGCTAGCCTGGGCTATATGAGGCCCTGTGTCTCCCCAAAATTGCTCATTTATCTAAAATTGTTTTTTTTAGAAAATATATTCTTTGTTTTGAGAAGAGGTCTTGCTGTGTTATCCATGCTAGCCTTCAGTTCCTGATAATTTATTTTTAGAAACCCTGTTAATGATTTTTTTAATTGTCTGACTTGTTATAAAGATTTTTTTATTTATTATTTTTATTTTATGTGTATGCATGTATTGCTTGCACGTAGGTAAGTGCACCCGTGACATGCAATGCCCACGGAGGACAGAAGAAACTATCAGATCCCCTGGAACTGGAGTTACAGACAGTTGTTAGCTGCCATGTGGGTGCTGGGATTTGAACTTGGGTCTTCTGCAAGAACAGTCAGTGTTATTAACTGCTGAGCCATCTCTCCAGCCCCTGTTATAAAGATTTTTAACATTTAACAATATCTTTCCTACATTATCATTTGCCTTTCACATTGATTTTAGTAATTTTAAGTAGGGAGATTAATGTTTGTTTTGTTTTGTTTTGTTTTGTTTTGTGGTAATGTCATATGTGGCCTAGGTTGGCCTCATCTCCCTCTCTAGGCAAGGATGATTTGAACTCCTGATCCTCTTGTCTCTACCTCCCAATTGCTGGAATTGTAGGCATGCACCTCTATGTCCAGCCTGTATAGCAAGGGCTATACAGAAAAATGAAGCAGGAAAGAGTAGAGAAACAGCTGGGCATGGTGGCGCACTCAGGAGGCAGAGGCAGGCAGATCTCTGTGAGTTCAAGGCCAGCCTGGTCTACATAGTAAGTTCCAGGCCAGCTGGGGCTACAGGGAGTAAAAAAAAAAAAAAAAAAAAAAAAAAAAAAAAAAGAGCATTCTAGATGGGACACATTCCTACCAAACAGGAACATGTCTGCTATATAGTGAATTCTAAGTAGTCAAGGGTGTCAAATGATAATGGATTTATAAAAATTTTAGAATTGTCACCAGGGTGTGTCCAGGCATGACCTTTGATTCATTTCTTTTTCACCTCTCTGCTTTATTGTTTCATTTATGAAGACTACATATGGAATAATGTGTGTGTGTGTGTGTGTGTGTGTGTGTGTATGTTCATCTAATTTTTATTTTCAGAATTTGTTTCTTTTTCCAGGTGTGGTGGCATATACCTAAAATCCCAGTACTTGGAAGGTAAGGCTGAAGGACCAAAAGTTTAAGGTCATCCTGGGTTCCATAGGGAGTTTGAGGCCAGCCTGGGCTAAAAAATTAAAACCAAATGAAAAGTGTGTGGGAATGACACCACATTGCCTCTCCCTAAGATGCTGGGACTCATTCCCAGGTCCATGTACACTGTCCTCTCTGGAGACAAGCTGTCCGTGAGCCTCTGTAATTCAGCCCCTGCACTGTACTGCTACTCACACCTCTCCCACTCGACGGCGTTACTTGTTCTAGTGATTTTACTCTGCTTGATAATTCCCACCAGTATAAAATGTGCTGTCATCTGCCACAGCCCTACCTGAGTCCATTTCCACCTTTGTCACCACTTCTTTACTCCACACCTTTTTTTTTAACACAGATTCTTGTTATGTAAGGAAGGCTAGTCTCGACCTCCAACCTTAACCTTCCAAGTACTGGGATTGAGCTCTGTTTGGATGGAAGAGATAGGCTTGGTTGGTTAGAGATTTGCCCCATTCTCACCATTTTCTTTCTTCAGGACTCTTCATGTGTCCAAAAAGAGAATCTAGAGAAAGCAGATGCCATGGCCCTTCAGGTACGTTGAAATTGCTTCTAAAATATTTTTGTTTTGCATTTATTCACTCATTCATTCATTCATTTGGAGAAAGGGTCTTACTGTGTATCCCTGACTGGCCTGGAACCCACTATGTAGACCAGACTGGCTTCAAACTAAGAGGTCTGCCTGACTCTGCCTTCCAAATGCTAAGATTAAAGGCATGGGCTCTGTGTGTGTGTGGGGGGGTCAGTTTGTTGGTCCTCTCCTTCTACCCTGAGAATTGAACTCAAGTCATCAGGCTTAGTGACAGGTATCCTTACCCTCTGAGCCACCTCACCAGCCCTGAAATTTCTTCTAAATTTGGAATAATCTGATTCCCTTCAGAACATATGAACATATATGTTCTTTACGCCAAATGCCTCTGTAACTTTCTTGCACTTTCTGTATCAGTAGGCAAGTGGAGAGCCCCCACTTCCCTTAGTAGCCCTCCTTTTCCAGCACTGTTCACACATTTGTGGGAAGCTCTCACAGAGTACCAGTGGAACAAAATGCATTCTCTTGAGGGAAAGATGATAACTTCCTTTATCATTAACTTGAATGGGGCAGAAGATGAAATGGTTTTATCTTTTCCATTGACTTGAGTGGTTTCCTTTCCTCTTTCCATTTTATGTCACTCCCTCTTAAAAAACATTTCATGCTTTCAAAGAATGTATACAAAGGGGCTGAAGAGATGGCTCAGTGGTTAAGAGCACTGACTGTTCCAGCACCCACATGGCAGCTAACAGTTGTTCATAACTCCAGTTCCAGAGGATCTGATACTCTCTCCTGGCTTCTGTGGATACTGTATGCATGTGGTACACATACATATATGCAGACGAAACACACCCATAAAATAAAAAAATAAAATCTTTTAAAAAAACAATATATGCAAAAAAATGTCTATAACTTGCATGTGGCATACAAAATAAATGTCAGAGTAGTCCACATCCAGATTAATTACCGTCTACACATCCTTCCTGCCAGTGCAGAGGCTGCTTTCATTTTATGCTCATTCATTGATTTTGTTTTTGAAACAGGGTCTAATGTAGCCCAGGCTGGCCTCAAAACTGGCCAAGTAGGTAGCCAAGGATGTCTTTGAACTCCTTCCTTAAAAGTTTATTTAGGCTGGGCATGGTGGCGCATGCCCTTAATCACAGCACTTGGGAGGCAGAGGCAGGCGGATCTCTGTGAGTTCAAGGCCAGCCTGCTCTACACAGTGAGTTCCAGGACAGCTGGGGGGCTACAGGGAGACCCTGTCTCAAAAAGACCCCCCCCAAAAGTGTATTTAGGAGATCTTAGACAGCCTGAGAGGGCGTGTTCGGACCTCCATCGGTGTAGCAGCTGTGATCTCAGCAGACTGCCAGAGAGTGCCTGCTCTGTCCTCCCTCTGGCATAGGGGCTGAGAATGCAGGGGACTGTCCAGATTCTGGTGGTGATCCAGCCGCCACATAGTGATAAAAGTTATGCAATTTGGGAGTTTTTTTGATAGACCCACTGAAGGGGTACCCCAATTGCCTCACCCTGCGTCCCTGATCAGCATGGAAGAAGCCAGAGCAGTCTGCGTCCCAATTCCTTATCCACAAGTTAGGTAACCTCTTCAGAGGATGGTGTGATAAGAATAGAAGGTAGGATAGGGCTGGAGAGATGGCTCAGCGGGTAAGAGCACTGACTGCTCTTGCAGAGGACTTAGGTTCGATTCCCAGCACCCACATGGCAGCTACTAACCATCCTTAACCCCAGTTCCAGGGGAATCTGAAGCCCTCTTCTGACCTCCATGGCATTGCACGACATGGTGCACTCACATACATGCAGGCAATACACTCATACACATAAAATAAAAATAATAAATTTTTAAAAAACAAAAAAAGAATAGGAGGTAGGAATTGGCTAGGCAGTTAGAGTTAAAAAACCCCAAAGAAAAGTAGCCAGTTTCTTGACTACAAGTCAAAATGTCCTTGGACCTCTTGGAACATACTCCATTTCAAAGGCCAAAAATGTTGAAAGTATTTGGGAGCTCTTATGTAATTCTTAAAAGATTTTAGGGTTATCTCTTCAGAGAGGGGAATGTTAGAGTAGCAAAAAGCCCCATAAAAAAAGAAAGAATACATGAAGTTGTCAGGAAAAAGGAAAAAAGTGATGGGGAGATATGGGAGGAGTTGGAGGGGAGGGAGTGGGCATGGATTTGATCAAAACACCTAATATACATGTATGAAATTCTCAATAAATTAAGAATAAAATAAGTAAAAATTTTTTTAATTTATTTTTATTTTGTGTATGTGTGTTGCTTGCATGTATGTAAGTGCACCTGTGCTTTTAGTGCCCATGGAGGCCAGAGAAGGGCATTTGATTCCCTGGAACTAGAGTTGCAGATGGTTGTTAGATGCCATGTAGATACTGGGAACTAAACCCAGGTCCTCTGCAAGAGCCAGTGCTCTTAACCACTGAGCCATCTGTCCAGCCCGAGTTTGAGCTCTTGATCTTCCTGCCTCTACCTCCCAAATGCTAGGATTATAGGCATGTGCCACCTTGCCTGGATGCAATTTCAGTTATTTATGAGACCCTACTTAGCTAGATTTTGTTGGGTTCCTATTCTGTAGAAAATAGAAGGGTCCTGATGTTCAGAAGGGGCTTCATCTCTAGCCATAGGGATGCTGAGCAATCCTTTAGCTTATAAGTGTGCTGATCATACTCTCTGCATAGCATAGATGGAAAGCTCTGGCTTTCTGGACCTTGTAACCTTCCTCCAACAATGCCCTTTGTCATCTCCACATCTTAAAGGCATTTTCCTGAATGAGAGGTTGGGAAAACTTGAACTTATCAATTTTAGGCCCAGTAGGAATGGGACAGCCAGGCAAGCATGATGGCACATACCTGTAATCTGAGTACTCCAGAGGCTAAGACAAGAAGATTTCCAGTTTGAGGCCACCCTGGGCTGTCTACATAGTGAGTTGAAGGCCAATCTGGGCTCTCTAAGGAAACCCTGTCTTAAAAAAAACTAACAAAACCAGGGACTGGAAAGATGTCTCAGCAGTTAAGAGCACTTAAAGCTCTTGCAGAGGACCTGGGTTTAGTTTCCAGAACCCACGTAATGGCTCACAACCTCCTGTAACTCCAATTCCAGGGATTAGGTGCCCTCTTCTTGTGACCTATACAGGCTCTTCCACACACATGGTACACATACAAACACTCAAGCATACACACATACACATAAAATTAAATAACTAAATACATCTTTTTGAAAAAATGAGACTAGGCCGGACATGGTGGCGCACGCCTTTAGTCCCAGCACTTGGGAGGCAGAGGCAGGTGGATCTCTGTGAGTTCAAGGCCAGCCTGGTCTACATAGTGAGTTCCAGGACAGCTGGGGCTACAGGGAGACCCTGACTTAAAAAGACAAAAAAAAAAAAAAAAATGAGACTAGGGGCTGGAGAGATGGCTTATTGGGTAAGCGTACTGGCTGCTCCTGCAGAAGACCTAGGTTCAGTTCCCAGCACCCACATGGTGGCTAACAGTCATCCATAACTCCAATTTCAGAGGATCTGACGTCCCCTTCTGACCTCCTCAGGCATTGCATGACACAGATGCACTTACATATATGCAGGCAATAGGCAATACACCCATACACGTAAAATAATAAAATATTTAAAATATAATAAATATAATATTTTAAAAACTGTTATTACCTTTGGCACACACCTGTAATCCCAGCACTTAGGAGGCAAAGGAAGGCAGATCCCTGTGAGTTTGAGGCCAGCCTGAACAACAGAAAAATTATTACCTTTATTGGGGGTAGGTAAAATGGTGAATGTCAGGGGACAACTTGCAGGAGTCAGCTTTCTCCTTCCACCGTGTGGGTCCTGGGGATTGAACTCAGGTCCTGAGGCGCGTACTGGCTGGCCTTTACCCATTGAGCCATCCCATTGAGCCATCTCATTGGCCCTATTCTCTATACTTTCATATTTAAAATTTTTTTTTAATTTTATGTGTAGGAGTGTATTGCCTACATGTATATGAGTGCACCCGTGTTGTGCAATGCCACGGAGGTCAGAAGAGGGTGTCAGATGCCCTGGAACTGGAGTTAAGGACAGTTCATAGCTGCCATGTGGGTGCTGGGAATCGAACCTGGGTCCTCTGCAAGCACAGTCAGTGCTCTTAACTGCTGAGCCATCTCTCCAGCCCACTTTCATATGTTTTGAAATTTTTCATTAAAAATCATAGAAGAGCTGGGCGTGGTGACACACACTTTTAGTCCCAGCACTCAGGAGGCAGAGGCAGGTAGATCTCTCTGAGTTTGAGAGCAGCCTGGCTTACAGGCTAAGATCAAGTGTAGTACCTCTCTCACCAGTAATACATACCAGTAACACAAGCACTTGGAAGGTTAGGACAGATGGTTTCATGTTCCAAGCCAGCATGGGCTACATAGTGAGACACTGATTCAAGCAAAGGTAGCAAGGAGGGAAGGAGGGAGGGAGGGAGGGATGGAGGGAGGGAGAAAAAATTAAAGAATAAAGTCCTTTAAACCAGGCATGGTGGTGCATGCCTTTAATCCCAGCACAGGAAGGCAGAGGCAGGGGGATATCTGTGAGTTCAAGGCCAGCTGGGACTACAGGGAGACCCTGTCTCAAAAAGACCAAAAAGAAAAAAATCCTTGAAGTCACTAGTAATACATAAGTTTATTGTTTTAGGAACTGTTGACGTTTGGGGATGTGGCCATCGAGTTCTCTGAGGAAGAGTGGAAATGCATGGACCCTACCCAGAGGGACCTGTACAGGGAGGTGACTCTGGAGAACTTCAGTCACTTGATCTCACTAGGTAAGACTTATAAATGGTACACGTAGGGACTGAACAGTGGGAGTGGGCACCTTCCACATGATGGGTGAAGTAAAGAAACAGCGTTGTGCTGCAGAGATGCTGAGAACTCTGGCAAGCAACCGTCAGTGGCCATAACTGTCTCCCAGGTCAAAAGGGAGGGAGAGGGCTAGGAACTTCCCCATACTCACCTCCCTGCTGCTGCCTCAGATGTGCCCCATAGGAAGCCCTGGGCACAGGTAATAGTCCTTAACTGAGGCTGAGGATTGGATTAGAGGCGAAGGAAAAGGTTAATGGAGCTAATCACCATAGTTATGTACTCCAAATAGTCAGTGCTGTGCTGGAGTGTTAGCGCAGCCGTTAGAAGGCTAAGGCTACCAATCAAAACGTTAAAGGTTCGAATCCCAAATAGTTAGCGCTAGTGTTCTGAAATTTCCTGGAATTTTATTTGGTTGGTGTTTTGGGGTTCTAGGAATTAAACTTAGGGCCTCACACATGATAGGCAAGTGCTCTACCATTGAGCCATATCCTTAGCCTAAGGAATTTCACTTCTTCATTGTGAATTTCTACTAGGGCATCTTATAAGTGTCTGACCGAACTCCATTCCCAAGAGAAGTCATTCCATTATACATCCACCTTCCTGACCTTGGACAGTCTTCACATCTTTTTTTATAATTGCCTCTATTCAGCTGGGCACATGTCCAGAATCCCAGGACTCAGAAGTTGAGGGAAGAGCATCAGGAGTTTCAAGGTCATCCTCAGTTACATGAATTCAAAGCCAGTCTGGCCTATATGAGACCCTCTTTTCAAATAACAAACAAACAAGGACTGTTGAGATGCTCAGTGGGTAAAGGCGCTTGCTACAACCTCAGTTCAACCCCTGGAACCCACATGATGGAAGGAAATAATCAATTACCACAAGTTGTCCTCTAACCTCCACAGGCCACAGCATGCACGTGTACTCCCCCATGCACATGCGCACACATATATATGTAATTATCTTGATTTGGGGGCTGGAGAGATGGCTGGCTTAGCAGTTAAGAGCACTGGCTGCTCTTGCAGAGGACCAGGATTTGATTACCAGCACCTACATAGTGGATAATAGCTGTCTGTCCCTAACTCCAATTCCAGGGGACCTGATGCCCTTTTCTGGTCTCCATAGACATTGCATAGGATGGGTACACTTTCGCACATGCAGGTAATACACTCATACACATAAAATAAAATTTAAAAAATTTTTAATAAATAAAAATAATTATTGGGGGGAGACTATGGGAGGGTGCCATTTGGGATGTGGGTATATAGATGAGTAAGATTGTTTGGGATGGTCTGTATAAAATACAAAAAGTCAACAAATAAAAAAAATGAGTTATATCTGAGGAAGAAGCACAAAAATTTGTTCCATGTTAATTACTAAAGGCGAAACACATTACCATTGAAATCTACCCAATGATTTTATATCCATACTCAGGTGGATCTCAGAAAGTAACCGACTGTGACTAGTAATAATCAGATACATAGAAATTAGAGATGCATGTGCAAACATCTAAGTGTTATTAACATTAAAAATGAGTCTTTCTGTAGGAAACAGTATATTTTTTAAATGAAATGGAGATCTTTTTTTAAAGGTTAAAACCTCTCTCAGTTTTGTGTGTTATAGGGTTTATACTGAGTTCAACGGTAA